ATTCAATGAAGATGCTGCAAGTGACATTGTTTCACAACGACCAACTAGAGCAGTCAGTAGGACGTTTCATGCAGGTTGGCTTTGATTATCATTCATCAGTCGGTAAGTGCTGAATCTGAGACTGAAGGATAACCTAGCTAATCATAGCTCTTCATCTTGCATATATCAAGTTAACTGTACCTATGTAACTAGTTACATAGGGCTCACTATTAGGCAGGTGCGTTTCCTGATATGGGTGCATTTACCAGTTTGGTTCAGAAATGGATGCTGGTAAAGCTTTTGATTTCATTTATTTTATTTCAAAAGCGACACCACATGTAGTTCGCCAACGCCTACTTAGTGTAGTGGAGGCTGTTACAATAAGACTGATCAAGCTTGAACTGTTTTCAGAAACAGCATGTTTAAGCGTTACTCCCCCCTTGTCCTTCAGTAAAATAAAGGCCACTTCTGCCTTTTTATTCGTTAACTTTTTGTTCTCTATGATATCGTTCATCTGCGTATGTATCATCCCAATATCGACTAATTTAAAAAGATAAAGCGATTTCCTCGCAGTCCCTAAATTTCATTCCATTTTGAAAAATGTAATTACATCTAAATTGGCTTGATTTCACGCTGTACAAACACATTTAATAATTGTAGAAACCAAGAAGAATTTATTGAAAACAATATTCTTCATTCAGATTGTTGCTTTTTGTTTACTTTTGTTTGATGAGGTGATTAGTAAAGTTTCCAGTCTTATAATGTCTGTTTTAAAGAACAATATATATTCTATATAGTGATTATTCATTTTCACTACATATGATTACTATTGTGCGAATAACTACCTAGTAAACTTCAAATAAGAGCGTTACGCATTCATTACCTTGGGATGCAAAAAAGGAAATTCGTACGTAAGTTAGAGAAACTAAGTTTTGATAAAATTAATTTTTGCGAATTAACGTGTTACTGCTCTTTTTAGTAAAATGGCTGTCACTTCTGTAGGTAACTACTCATTATCGTGATAACAATGGAAACTGAGTTCAAACGACTGAGTTGGAATGACAATACGTAAAAGTGTATGTATTTGCTATAAGACATTGTGATGAATACGGTTTTTATAATTATAAGAATTTCTTGTAAAATTTAAACAAGTTTACATTTTTGAAGTGTTGGAAGATAATAGAGAGAGGTTACCCACCTAGTACTCATGCCTGGTGGTCATCATTGGTATGTTGTAGAATCTACAGTCCTGAGAGAACTGAAAAACTTTTAAAAATCGGAATCCATATGAAGGAAAGCAGCTGTCAGTTGTGGTATGCCTATGGTATTGGAAATGTGAATGATCTCTGAACCGCAAAATATTAGAAAGCCATCAGAAAAATGATGCTGGCTCCTGTAACTTTACTGTATAATGTGATAAAAACGATGCTGGAATTCAGACCACCCTCTGAAATATTTCCGAACAATTTGCCCTTCCATTCCTCCCAGGCTGTTGCTGATTGATTTAGAACGACTGAAACATTTATAAGCCTTATTCAAGCCAACGTTTAGGAGTGATATACTATTTTGCTTGTTGAGAATACTATTTTAAATAATATCGAATGTAACTTTACAGTCTTATTTGGGTCTAAAATTGTGGTGAGTAGTTCACTATCTGTAAAATATATCATTTTTGCAAAATTCGAAATGGTCACTAGGCTGTAAACATCATTTTCATAGGTTACAACCAATGATAAGCGAAGAACACTATACCTCAAAATCTGCTGTAAAAGCTTGATCGATTTTGTATGGCTTCAAGCTATGTCATTAGTTGAAATCAGCAAAAATTAGCTGAGGTATCAAGTAGATAACTAAGGCAAGTAGAGAGAAATCTGACTATCACTTCAGTAATAAGGCAAAAGAAAAAATCCATTGGACACTACTGTTGTCAGTCAGTATTCCAGTCATCCCTAAAATGTCATGATAACAATGGAATGCTTCTCTATGCAATGGTGTACCTGACAACAATGTCTGCGCTCATAAAAGCGCTAGAAAGTATATTCAAGAACTGAAAAGTAAAATCCAAAACATTTTAACAATCTGAATCGAACAAACCACCGAATCCTTCTGATATTGATTCTTTTTTATTGCTGGAAGTTAATTGACTCATGTAGGAATAAGAGGCCCTAATGAAATGATGAAAGCATTCACAAACTTGAGTATCTCAGGCTGTAAACTAACCGAATAACACAGAAAGTGATATCTTTGCCGAAGGCAGTTGGCAAATTAAAGAGAAGCTGCATTGTCTTCAGTCAAAGGAGAAATATTTTTTAGTAGTAAACAGGCAAAAAAACTAGCATATATAAATAAGGGTCATAAAGTCATTCGTCCACTTATTTAACAAAGGTAAACAGTGAAATAATGCCCCCTAGCACTTTAATATGGTAAATTTATCCTAAACTATTCTCTCTGGAGATAGTGTAAAAATAATTTGTGGGCAAACTTTAAACAGGCTAGTTAAGATAAAGTTTTAGTCTATTTATGTTCAATCAAATGTAATGTGAATGAGAGGGTACTTGGGAAACTTCTAACTTACAACACCTCTTGAGATCAGGATCACAAAGCCTGTGCTTCTCGATTAGTGTGTAACACTGGACTCGAAATCATTAACTGACACTTTCATCCTCCGGTTTACCAGGATATCGTGTGAAAGTTACGAAAGTTCCTAAGATAATAATAGATCAGAGAGAAATCCAACTTATACGATAAAAAAATAACATTATGTTTTCTGACCCCAAAAATACATTCATTCTAAAGCTGTAAAATATAGGCAGTTCAATAGTGAATCTCTTAAGAATTCGTAAAACAACTTGCTTTCAAACATATGAGGTTAATTCAGCCATAGATTCATTTAAAGAACTTACAGCTGTTTACCCACAAAATGGAATATGCAACTAAAAAACTGGAAAATTTCACCAAAATAGTCATGGCACTTAAACATGTCGACTGAGATCATTTCATGCAAAGAAGGCACAGTGCGTTTACTAGAAAAGTCAATAATGACAAAAACTTCGAAAACTCTAAACTCTTTTTATAATTTTATTCGAAGAGGTTGTTAAGCAGTGTGAATCAAGAGAATTTTGTTTACTTCTGGGTTCAGGTAGGTAACATTCAGTATGAGCTTGGTTGCAGTCATCGTCAGGAATATTAAATAAGGAAATATGTGGTGTATCGAAGATATTATGAAGAAGTAAGGGCAAAACCAATTCCAAAAGAGTAAGCGAAAGGTTTCATAAGTACTTTTAGGTGTTTCCGAATGAGGAAGTCACGTTTCTTGTTCTAGCAAAAATGCAACTACTTTTACCACCAACATTATGAGTACTGAAACAATTATCACAATAATACCAGTATTTCACTAAACTATAATTTTTAAATGATACTGGTTGTTAAACAAGCATATAAATCTGAGGATGTCGGATAATGTTGGTTAACTAGCTGTTTAACCTCGAACACTGAGGTTAGAAGTTTCAAAATACACAAAATGAAGATTTTTCAAATAGTTGCATGGGACGTTTACGAAGGTATATGATAGGTTTTGTTTTCTACAGTTTATTTTTTCATTGTTTGCTGACAGAAAAAGTGGAAGAATTAGGACGTATAGAAAACACTTGAAATACTAACTACCATGAATACAAAGATTTATTACTTGAAATATCTATTATTCTTAATCACTATTAACAAGTTTTACTTCACGTGCTGGATCATTATACTTCCTTCAATGTTCCTGTGCTTTTATTTTTTTAGCTAGAACTGAACTGGATATTTACTGTGCACTGTTCAACAAAACAAGATCATTTCATACTGTGAAACCCTTTACAGTAGAAAGAAAAAGCTTTTTATGATAGTGAAAACACTATACAAAAGAATGTAACCACTGTCAAAGATCAGTACTTGGGATATAATATGGAGACAGTATCTACAAGTTTTACTTAATGATGGATACTAGTTAGTAAAATTGTTTTGTATCCATTCAATAGTTATATACACCGTTGATTATGACACTAACTAACGAATGCTGGTAATCTCATATGATTAAAAGTGAGAATCTTGGTGGAATTATGAAATACTATTTCTCCGCATTTGGGATTTAGTGATAAGCAGAAAGTAATGTGAAAACTGACTTTAAAGATTGATAATATACATTTTTGGCTACAACTCAAGATGAAATAAAATAATTCCAATTTTTATCTTGATTTATGTGGAAACAATAACAATCAGACGGTTATCATAACTTCATTTAACTTTTGTATGAATCTGTTTTTTACTTTACTATTACAATGCAAAATAGCAAATAAGAATAAATCTAAATTTTACATTTTGAACTCCAGCGATAACTTTAGGTTACTCTACTGAAGAAGGTTGCAAATTGTAGATACTACTCATTTTACGCGATATGATTTTTCCCACAGAATTTTGTTAACGTTAACTTAGGACAGAATTCTCTAAAACTTTGCTTCACTTCCAGATATTTAGTCAACCAATCGCCTTATTAAGTGACGTTATAGATAAAATAATTATTGCAGACAATACTGATGATCTTTCTGACTGTTTGTTGTTCCTTTTACATAGATATGTACACGCAAACACATTAACTAACAAGCGGAAGATAAATAGGCATCATCACTGATAAACATTTTTTGATTAAAATGGACAGGAAATGTTTAAATTTCATTTTCCTTAGATATTGGTCATACATTTACATCATTTTTTCCCCAGATGTTTCCGTAATTTATAAACATTATCTAATTTCTAGTATATATTGGTGTCTGTGTTTGTGTCACTATGTACCAGACATCGTGTTCGCTTTACTGTTAAGATGTAATCATCTTCAACAGCACTGAATATAATTTTTGACCGAAGGCGAAACAGCATGTAATTACTGTAAGTTTATTAACTGAAGTGAAAAGTGTTTATCATCAACACTTTCCAGTCAACTATATATCGTGATAAGGAATAATAATTATGAATGAAGAATAACTCACATTGATTTCATACTGTATGTGAATATTGCTTCTCCGTTATCATTGTTCGGTGTCCATTCTAGAGTATACTGATTTCCTTGGACATAGTGATATCGCAGGTCCAACGGTATATCAGGTACATCAGCTGAAAAAAGAAGTCAAAGTTTATTCATCATTGTACTGTATCTGAAGTCTGAAGGTCAACTTATTGGTTTCATTTGACATTTTTTCAAAATACTACAGGGGGGGTGGGATAAACTTACGACAATCAAATCATCTCGAGAGAATGTAATGTAATGTTTCAACTTCCTTCCCTTAGTGAACACTATAAGCGGTTTGTAATTACTTTTGTTACTAAAGTAAAGAGATTTAGGCATGCCTCGGGGTTTCGTAAATGAAAACTCCTAGATTCGAAAGCTGGCTAGACCAACACAGTGGTTGTCAATTGATCACCTCATAGCATATACACAGTTTATACGAGAACATCATTATTCACTTATATGAGTAAAATCTTTCATTTTTGGTTCATAATCTTTCAAATTTGAAACGAATTCTGTAACAATCTATTTTGTAAAATAAATACACTCTAAATTCTTTTATATCTGCAACATAGGGATAAAAACTCTGTGATGTCGTATACCGAATGGAAATGGTAACATGGAAATGTTTTGTTATACGAAAAAGTAGACTATGTTTGTCTTTTTAGTTAACATATGTCTGGAAAGTATTAACTATTGAAACAATTATATTACAAATTGGATGTGTTCCGTTTAAGTCACTCTTCTAATTTTAACTATCGATAAACCACTTGGATTTCTCTGAGTGCTCATTATTTTGTTTTTTACTAGTCTTGAACTTAAAAATGAAGTGAATTAAATTTTGGAAAATGCTTTTAGTCTTATTTATTGTCTATCGAACAGCGAAACCTTGAAAAGCGTTTCAAACAATCTAACATAGCTTTTAGATTAAAGTTTTGGCGCTACGATAGAGTATTGGTCAATATTGAATAAGTTTGTTCATTATAATACAGTGAAACAGTATTAGCCATCAGACAATGCTTCAAGATTCGTAACTAATTTCTTATCATCTTTGTGGATCTCATAAGTGATACAAAGAATCCTTGGGCACAGTATACGCGCGTTACTGTTACCCAAGAGACTAGATAAAATTATTTTTACAAGACTTATAAAGGTAGGGTATATTTCAAGTTTTGTTATCAATTTCCAACCAAAGCCCAGTGAGCAAGCTACTGACGATGAAAAATGTCAAGGCAGTTCCAAGTACCGTAACTTGAAGCATGCCAGGTATAAGGTCAGTTTTGTGCCAGATTATGTTATCGTCGGAAATCTGTAAATATATCCTGGCTATATAGCATGACGTATCTGGTGTTCACAACATAAAGCCCGTAAGTTTCTATCAATTCACTGAAAAGTGATTTGTGACTTTTTTCCCTATTTTGTACACTAGAATTCTGCTGCTACCTCACGTGATCCAATCAAGGTTAGACAGTTCCTGGTAGTTTAAGAGATATTTTTCTTGCATAAACCTGAAAACAGGAAATTATTGAAAACAAGCAAATCACTGCCTGATGAATGAGCGGTAAGTACTAAGAAGAGATAACTTAAGCTACCATTCTAATCACTATAGAGAAAACGCCCGACCGGGAATCTGTTTAGTTTTCCAAAGAATAAAGCACAAAGTTAGCCACTCCTCAAAGGATAAGGTAATCTATCCCCCTCACCAGTAATGGCAGTAAACTATAATGATAGCGTTTATCCGTGGTGCGATAAAGCGCTTTTGATATATCATTGGTTATATATGTATAAGGGTGAACATTTGAGCAATAACCTTCAGATCCCTCCATTTGTGGTCACTCACTTCCTCTATAAATAAAAAGAAAAGTGACATGACAATTTTATCTCACCATCAAAAATATAACGGTTCATATATAGATTCGCAAAGCCTTTCTATTTCAAGACTTTTCTAAAAGGACGCATCCTATTGATTTCGCCTTTTAACTCAATCTCATATTTACATGTAGATTCACATTCTTTTTGTCAAAACCTCAAAGCGACACTATTAGTTGTGAAAAGCTTCTGCGGTTTTGAGCTTTTTATGAGGATCTGGACAGTCTTATTGCACACTTTAGCAGTTTTGTGTGGATAATTAACAATTAAGAATTGCGCCAAATTATCTTGACCTGATTAGTAATTCTTTTAAAAAATGGTATTTACCACTATCTTTGAACTGTGAACTACGCTAACTCAGCCTTTACGAGTCTGTTATTCTGAAGATTTCATGGGCAGATGGATGAATAAATGATTCTAACTTCTCAGTTTCTGGAGGTCATTTCTGCTTTCATTAGTTTCGTTTGATATCGACCAGTGGCATGCATACAGGAAATTACATTACAGCCGCATTTACTTCCATCTTAACGATACTACTTCCTAAAGCTATACAGCCTAACAAATAAAGAAAATAGATCAAGATCTTCCTTAACGAAGATTTTAGCATTGGTACATTGCAAATATGTTGCGAAAATGAATTAGTAAACGCAGAGCTGATTGGAATGGACATGCGTAAAGAAGAAGTCTAAGTTGAATAATATCCGGAGAGATTCAACAACTGAACACACTGTTATTGAATACAAAGTGGAGCATACAGCTGCTAGAGCTCATCCTGTCCATAAATTAAAAAGAGATGCATTGAATTTGTAAGCCGTTTTTAGGTAAAACAGAAGAAAGAGTTAGTGAACACATTTTTTTTCGACAAAACAATAAGAAGGCATAGTTTATCTGAAACGTGTGATGTGTTAGCGCAGTAGTTTTCCAACAATCTGGTCACATACTTTCTTGATATGAACATTTACATGAAGCATAACAAAAGATTAAAGGTTCCGTCAAAATCTCACTAACCGAGGCAATAGATTTTTGACTTCCTCTACACCTAAACACGTCACTGTAATGGACTACAAGGTTGATCTGAATATATTGACAAAACCTTTTGGGTTCGTTAGAGCTCTAGAAATATGGAAGCTGGGAGATTTAAGCACAAAAATGTTTGTTGTTACATTTAGTCTGAATATCAGTGATGATTAATATGCTACTGTTTTCTTCCCATTTAAACTTAAAATCTGACACTCTTTTATGTGGATTATTTTTAAACCCATTTATCCTTAGTTATATAACATATCAATATACATGAGAAGTCAGCGTAAAACTAAGTTGTTTGAAAGGCATTTAACCAATACAACAAACGTTTCATGCAAACTTCATCCGTTTATCGTTTTGCTGAAATTCGTAAAGTGAACAAACATTTTTCAAATTTGTATTCGGTAATATCATCCTCAGCAGCTGCATAATCGCATTTACAAATGACTGTTATGCATATCTATTGATAAAAAAAACTAATATCCGTCAAACAGCAGTTCTAAATAGGTTGTGGTCGGGAAAAAGACATAGGAATGGAAGATATGTAAGAAACATGAAAATATTTTACAATGTATACAAGTAAGTTAAAGTTGACATGAAGCATTAAAGACTTCGTAATAAAGTGAGTAAACAAATGTCATTTAGGACAGAAACGGAAAATTAGTCACTAAGGCAGTGGCTCAACAGAAACATGCTGGCCATGGAAACTGAAGGTCATGGGTTTGATCCCGGGTTGGGTCACAGAGCTCACTACTGAGCAGTCCCATACTAAGACGAAACAGCAGTCCAGTGTTCATGTTAGCTCACGATGAACATCAACCTGAAATAAATCCTCACAGAGATCCAAGTTAAATTATTTACCATTATTATTCCCCTGGGTTCTTAGTGGAACATAGGGCTTCTGTAGCACGTCTCAATTTCACTCTCTTCTCTCCAGTCCTTTCAACCTGGCTCAACCACTGCTCACAAGCTTTCATTTCTTCCTCACATAATCTCCTCCATGTCACCATCGCCTCAGACGCCCAACTCATCGATCCCCATTTGGCTTCCACTCCACAGCCTAGTCTGGTCTGGTCAGGTCAGGCCTGGACTGGACTGGCCTGGCGCGTGATGTCCCCAAATGATCCTCTCAGTGTGTGCACAATCCCATCTCCACTTTTTCTGCACATTTGTTGGGCGATCGGTTCTTCGTTGGTTCATTGCCGGCCAGCCAGCCAGTCAGCCAGTCAGCCAGTCAGCCAGCCAGCCAGGCTTCCTTGTTGCTTATTCCTATTATTCTGACCATCTGATCTCCATCTTCAGTGTCGAGGGAGCGTAGGCGGCAACTCTTGATGATGTATGTCTGTGGTTTGTTGGAAATGCTTTTCGTGATGCAGCAAGTCTCTCAACCATCACGTAGAAGCACTGACTTGACTGACTTAGTGTTGGAAATCCCAATCTTGTTCTTTATACTGAGTGGAGTGCAGTAGATCTCCACATTGATTTCAGGTTGATGCAGGAAGGCGTGTCTTGCTGTCATCCCGATTCTGACTGGTTTTGACATCCTCGTCTGTGCCTGTAGCACCTGTAGTTGAAACGATGCTGCTTAGGTAGGTAGGTGTGTAGGTGTGTAGGTAGGTCGTGAGGTAGGTAGGTAGGTGTGTAGGTGGGTAGGTAGGCAGGTAGGTGAAAGAGACAACTTCCTCCTCCAAATCTTCTTCCCAGGTCTTTTCATCGGTCTAGCCAGCATATGCTCACCTTCTCGCTCCTCACAGTTGTCTGTCGCATGATCCAGTACAGTACAGTACAGTACAGTACAGTCGACCACAATCAGCAAGATCATTGGTGATAGTAGGTGGCTGCCTTGTCTTACCTATCAACCTCTCTTCACTTCAAAGACATCATTCAGCTTTCCATTGTGAATTACTTGGCATGTGGCACCATCATACAGCTGCTGTTGAGTGAGGCTCACAAAGGTTAGTCGGGCGAAAGCCGTAGTGTTGAAGCAGCACTCTGACAAATTACTTCTCAATCGATGCTATCGAAGGCCTTTTCAAAGTCAGTGAAGTTGAGGTAAAGATTCAGTTGACTGACATTCTATGCTCTGTTCTATGATGATGCGTAGCGTAGTGTTGCACTTTGATCCTCAAATGATTCGTCCTTCCTGAAGTCAGTTAGTCAGTCAGTCAGTCAGCTAGCCAGCCAGCCAGCAAGCAAGTTTATCTCAGTCATAATTTTGAATTTGAGGCATTCCCTAGTCCCTCCAGGGCCATGCGGCTTAATATTTGGCTTAAGGTGGACAGGGGTGTAGCATGATTCCGTGCCAGTTCTTGCAAACACGTGGGTTGCCCTTGTGTTTGAGAGGCAAGCCGTCTTCAGTCATGCGGCAGGTTCCCTTCCTTCCTTACAAATCTCCTGTAACAGTGGTGTCAGCATATCCTCTGTTCATGTCTCCGTGTCTGCTTTCAGTGCTTCTGGAGGAATTCCATCTCCTCCTGCTACTTTCTCGCAGTTCAGCAACTTTATGGCGTTCAGCATTTCACTTCCGCTCTTGTCGGAGAGCTTTTGTTCACTGATAATTCTGTGTCTGTGTTACTGATGGTATTTCTGGATGAGTCGCAACCGGTGGTCGTGGTGGTGATGGTGGTGGTCGATTCAGGAGTTTTTCGAAGTGGTCACCCCTTCGTTCCCTTTGTTTCTCCTCTCTCTTTGGTAACTACGTTCCCTTCATTACCTCTCACAGGTCTCATCTGTGTTGATCTGTTCATCTCTCCCCTCCCTGATGGTAACCTGGTTGTTTGATATAATGTTGTCAGGTCCCTCCCTGTCTTTCCTATCTGCAGCCTGTTATGCTTAACTCGCAAGTGTGTCTTACAACTTTCTTTTTGTCTTTGCTCACACTCTTCTTCACTCATTCGTCCAGTGTAGTGCTTTACACGTTGTGTTCACTTCCTCTTTTCGTTGTTCATCCTTAAACTGCACTGCACTGCACTGCACTGCACTGCATTGCACTGGTTCATCCTCTGCTTCACCATCTTCCTCTCCCTACTCTGTCTGCTTCCATGTTAAGATCCGTGGAGATCCATTCCTTGTCTCGCATCTTCTTCTTCCTTCCTAACACCGTTATGCAGGTCTCCTTCCACTTCTCTTTCAAAGAGTTCCAGTGTTCTTCCACACAGGTCTCTTCAAAGATGTTGCTTAGTGTCTCCCATTTTGTCCTGATGACGTCCTGGCTGACGTCAAGAAGTCTCTTGTAGTTTCTTCCTTCAGTTTGTTTTCTGTTCTGGGTGTAGTGGAACGTGAACTGTCGTCTGTCACCAACTTCTTTGAAGGCCCCCAACTTGATTTTGAAGCTGGGTTCCTTGCACTAGATAGTGACTGTTGTGAACCTACATGTGCTCCTCTTCTTCATCTTATCTTGTGTTCAGAGGCTGACTGCGTCTCCACTTCCTTCACATTGAGATGAATGAAGTCGATCTGATTTTCAGCATAGCGTGTCCTGGTGTCTGCTGAAATCCATGTCTCTGACTTGTGAATACCCTTGTGTTTGTATACACTGCCTTGCCACCAGTCACCAAATCGTTGATCGCACAGAAGTCTACAAACAGTTCTCCATTCTCATTCGTTTCACCTAATACTTCTCGACACATGATCAGTCAGTTCTCTTCCTGTATTTTCCGCTCCCAGTTTGACATTCATGTCACACCACACATCAGAATTTTGATGTCGCCATCTGTGGTGGGTTCTTGTCCTATACTGATTGCAGTTGTCTGTAGAATTCCTCCTTCTTCTCTTCATCTGCTTGATTATTTGTAGGTGCGTAGCGTAGCCCAGCATTGTATGAATGGGACTTTCTTTCCTTTTGAGTTGAACCAATATTGCTGTCATGATCCTGATCCTGATTGTGGATGAGATTGGTTCCCACTTCACGAGAGCCTTCTATGCTGTTGGGGACATCATGATAGCCACTTCAAAACTCAGTGTGCTCATGGTTGTCGTTTGGGTGACAATATCGGAGTCGATTACTGACTCTCCAGTTGACAGTTTGGAGAGTCCACTTCCATTCTATCTGCTTTCGTAGATTCCAAACAATTTTATGCTATACCTTCTCATCTCTTTCGCAATCTGGGCAGCCTTGCTAGTTTCATACGTGGTGCGGACATTCCATGGCGCCGATTCCAGCGATGAATAAGTTTTAATTTTTATATTTTCTTTCTGCTTTGAAGTTTCTTTAGGGACTGGATTGGTTCTTCGGGTAGGGTTGCTAGCCCTATTTCCAACGTTCCCTCTTTATCCGGGCTTAGGACCAGCTAGTAGCTAGTGAGCTATTTAACCGCATGAGGTTGAATTAGCACATGAAAATTAAAAAGTTTGTTTAGGTTGCGGAATGAAGAACTTCAGGGGATTAAGAAGTGAATGAGGAAAGTTTTTGGTAGAGTTGCTTTTGGAAATACAATCCTGCTATCAATTTTTTATTACTGGAGCTTCAACAGTGCAAAGCAAATGTTTTCACATACTTTTGAGAAGTTTACTTTTTTGTAGATTACTCTAAACAACTCTTGTTGGGATGTATCGTCTTTCAACTGAATGTTAAAACATTCTTATTAAAATAAGAAATTTTTAATTAATCTGCTTTGGCCTTTACTCAACCATAATGGAAGTTGCTGGAATCATGCTGGATAATCTCTTTCTACCTGCAGCCAATTTACTTAGCTTGAAAGCAGCATGCGAATGAATGTATGCACATAGTAGATGACTAGCAATGGGAATTTTCCTCCCGCAAACATATTCTGCACTGAGCGATTAGTATTGGTGATTTTCAGTGGCTTCATTGAATGCTTTTTTGACGGCTTTCACTAGTCGGGGTTTCAGTAACTCATCTGCTGCATCTTTAATTAGGTTCTGACTCAAAAGTAGCCTCTTTTTCTGTACCTTTATAGGATACAGATGGATAGCAATTCAGTGCTGCACACATCAAAGTTATCGAAGCACGAAATTATGGTATTTTAGTCTCAACGTTTTGGGCTTTTCCAAATGGAAAGCAGCTTCAGAGAAACTCTCTTAAAACAGTGGATTTATGTTATTCTCCTAAGGAAAGCTGTATAGTCAGCTTTGTCACTAAGCACCATCATTTAATATCTGTAAACAACAGCCAAAAATGAAAGTTAAAGAATACAATCATACATCTTTCCTTACCGTAGATTACATATTACATACCGTATAAACTTGTAAACGTTGGATGGGAAAAGTATAGTTAAAAACTTTCATAATAACTTTTAACAGATGAATAGATTATTTTACTTACGGTGTGTTTTGCATGCGCATATATCTTTTGATCCAATTTTCGGGAATCGATCGAATGTACTATTTTCATAGATCAAATTTAGTCCAAATTCGTATAAATGATTAGGTTTTAGCGAAGCAATGGTGTGATTACGAAATTTAACTCCAGAATGTCCCCATCCGTAATCAGACATTGTTGTGAACTTGGGCTGGTCAAAATGAACTGATATCTGATTGGTAGGAGGTAGGGGGAAAAAGACAAGAGAAAGAGTCACTGCTACTTGTCGATATGGTGGCATTATGCAGGGCAAAGAAAAACCAAAGGGTTTCATCTCCTTTGCTGGAATGCTATTCATTTATGAGAAGTAACAGTCTACAGTGTTGTTTAGCCTGTGATATTTAACCTTGTAAAACTGTTTTGTTTGGAAGGGGTAACAGAGATTTTCTTATGTCTTCATTTTCAATGAGTAACACTCTCGTTTAGAAATAACTATATATTTAAATTTGTCTGCCTATCTTTTTGTCTAGTATTAGGTATTGAGGACACAAATGCCGATGCTATTTAATGAGGCCGTAGGTGAAGTAGATTTAGGGAAGGCAGAAGAACTGTTGTGTAATTTGCAGCAGTCTGTTGGATTGTTGAATAGGTTGTTATAAGGTTAACAATACCTTGTGTAGCTGTTAATCTAGACACGTGACCTAAGGACGGAGAACGCTATACCACCTATAAGAGTGGATGCACAATTTTACAAAATCGTGTTTAACTTTCGTCATGTTCATTGCATGCCCATTAGGCATTGTAACAAGTAGGAAAATCTTAACATTTTTTATTGATATTTAAACTGTGTAGAATACATCCATTTTTGTCTACATCTACATGTAAGTGCCGTCAAATGACGGTTTTAGAGCATGTTCACTTGTGGTTGTGCTTGTCTTTTTAGCTCTCTTTTAATGGACCTACTGCTTTGATGAATGCACACATACATGTACACGTGTGTCTTTGTGCCTAAAAACTGAATAATTTAATTGCAGACAAATACATACATTCTGCAGGTACTAAGAAAATTCATTATTTGAAAGTAACATAATATGAATCCTCGGTGTCACCTGGGTGCTTTTGTGAAATACGGACGGAAATATTTTGCGTCAAATATTTTGTCTAGGGCTGAATACTTAGTGGCATTTGTCGAATATTTATCTTTTTATATACTGTCATTATTATTTATCGTTCGTAGTGTATGTCAACTGAATGCTTCACTACGACACACCGCGTGACTTTAAACACTAAAGATAGTATATAGATGTGTGTAAGTACCCATATCATAGTTCTTATTAAATACGAATGTTTATCTAAAACTGCCCCCTGAGGTCGTCTAGAGTAAAATGTCATCATATTAGCATGAAAGATATTTTTACAGTTGACATTTGAATTGTGTAAAACTGTAATAAAAGCTATCGTTATAGAAATTCACACCAAATAAGAATACTCAAAAAGTGTGATTATTTTCAAATGGAGATTTCTTATCAAACGGAAGATAGCACATTGTGAATCGTGTTTAAAGCAAACCAGTTTTTTAGGAATTTCTTCGAACCTGTAAATCTGTATTTCTTTTAAAAACTCATTGTTATTCTTTGTTTTTGGATTGACAGCTTTAATTAAAACACTGTTTTAACCCCTTCAAGCAGTTTACAAGCATGTCCACCTAGACTTATCGTCTTCTTTAGGAGGTGATTTTACAACAGCCTAACCTTCATACTCAGTTAGAGACAACTGTTATATTTCGAATAAAATGCTTATCTGGTTTTCTCTAGTGACACTGTCACAACTTTCTGTCCCTCTTCATGATATCTTTCTGGTCTATTTTAACTGCTATTCTTAACATTTTATTTATTGGCAAGTCTCAAGCTACAGTAAATCTTTCAATCTTTCATAATAATTTCACAATACATAACGTCCACTTTGTGCTTTTATGAAAATTCGAATCTACATTTACAATTCATTTTCTGATTTTATTCAGCCTATAAATGGACACGTTTGTTGACAGACCTTGATGCTTCAGTTATTCAGCTTCAGTGGTTGTAAATAAGCAAAGTTCGTCCCCTTTAGTGGATTTTGTCACTACGACAAAAGTAAATGAAAAATCTCTTAGATGTTTTGACATTATATTTCGTTTACACTGTGGGTATTACATGATATTACCTGAAATACGAATCATTTTGATACTACTCGTCATCCTAACCTATTGTAAAAGATGCTTTATCGTAATTATTGTCGTTGCTGAAAAATTGTAAAAACCAGACTGTTGGATCTGTCTGACGATAGTAAGGGAAATACTGAATGTAACAAAGCATGCACCATGGTAATTATTTATATTTTCAAGCCATTCGTATTGTGCTACTTTAAGTTTAACAGGAAATAAGTGAATTTTATAAACTTGGTTGTAGTTTACTGCCTCTTTAGATGATGACAAATGTTTCAACAGCACTTAGTGAGACTGAGAAGAATGTAGTGCATTACAACTTAAGATTTCATTCAAAAATCTTTGAGAAGGTCTTTATAATGAAAAGAAAGGATATTAAAATTAATTGTTCAGCGAGGAAACTTAAAAGTTTTTGTTAGCTCATAAGTGCATATCGAAATTGCTGTTTTCGACTAATACCATTTTAGAAGGTTTGCAAATAAACGCATTTGTAGTCCACCACTGCTTTAACTCATTTCCTTTACCTAGATGAACCAGAGTGCACTTAGAGGCTGCTTTTTAATTAAATTTGGCGGCGTGTATAAAACTGAAAGATTTCGCGTTTAAATGTTCCAATATTATTTCACTATTGAATATTAATGAAAAATAACATGTACAATTCTTTGTTAAATCCATCAGATGAGTGTAACTGCATGTAACTGCTCACTAATAGTAATCAAAAATGTCGGATGTTTTTCGAGATGACAGTAATAAGGTCTAAATAAAAACATCTGGCGAACATTATTTATTTTATGTCCATATCAATGTCTATTTATAAATTCAACTAAACCTGTAGAGTTGGTTATTTGGGAAGTACCACGAGATTCTTTTGACAACGTTCGAAGAACATCTGGAGTTACGGCTAGCTAAAGCAGAAGTAGAAATTTCTGGTTCTAACCGATTCTAAATAATTCAAACAAATGACAATGTAGACAATAAGCCCGTCGCTTTAATGATCCACAGTTTATCGGATTGAATTCTGAAGGCGGTAAAAATACTACTTCCATAAATTGCTGAAACTGTCCTAAATGGCTATTGTAAGACCTTAGCCTTATTTTAGTCTGTTTATTAGAAATGTCACACAGTGATGAAATAGCATCATTTACTGCATAACGTTTCGGACAATTTATTGTCCATATCCATATCATGATATGAAGATTAATATACAGATGTGATTAATAAACCCTATTGATCTTTTTATCCATCACTTATAGGAAATCTCGTGGAATAAATTGTTGTAAAGTTTAATCCAAATATAAGTACATGTAACTGTAAATATCCAAGCTCATGTATCAACTCGATGTATGTTTCTTTGTATGTATGAAATATTACTGATTACAGTAGAGAGCCAGATGAATCTATGATGAGGATATATATTTACTCCAACTCTTGTCTATTTATTATCACCATGGTGACATCTAATTTCCTGAACACTCAACATGCATACTAACTTACCTGGAGCATATTTAAAAACTTCTAAGAAATAACTTTGTCAAAATAATATGAAATTTGACCAAATAAACATATCACAGTTATGGTGAGTTAACTGTCACGAAATCTCTCGGTGACAATTGCCTTCTGGTAATTGTTTTCCTTTCAAAATGAAACGAATTCACTGAAAGAGTTTTATGAAAAGAAATATAACTAAATGTCACCATTAATCAAACTTTATGAGCCTTTATTTTAAGTGGAACTCTGAGTACATTTTACTTCATAAATGGAAGTGAATAATATAAACCAACTGTTGGAAATGGACGTGAAAATGAAAAAATCTATAAAAACAATCTAGGAGAAGAATAGAAACAGTCTCCTGACGACTGGTAGTTCATTTAAACTTGATGGGCTTACAGCTTTTCGGTTCTCTGATTTGATGTATTATTCAAATGACTTTTAGAACCAGTCAGGCTGTTTTAAGATAATATAATATTATGACCAAATATTCATGAGCAAGATCCAGAGTTAGTTTGGGTCAAAAAGATTATCTAAATTAGGGATTCAAGTTCACTGACTGACTATGTTTGTATATTTTTGTAACAAGAGACTGGCATACCATCTACTACAATATAATATTTTAGTCTCCACAGTTCACAATTCAGTGAGTTTTGTTAATAACCAGTGTTAACCTTTGACCCTTGCTGACGCTGTTCATCATATCTCTGGACCGATATATGATAACTGTGCAACTATGAATAAGAGTTAACAAACTAGTCCACTTTGCCGACTAATGTCTTTTTATTACCTTTACTTCTTCGTCTCTGATGATGAGATTATTCACCTCGATTCATTATACAGTGAACGCTGAAAACTTACCATGAGTGTTTAAAAATTAAAGAAATTTAGTTCCAGTTCAACTGTTATATACTTTGGAGTTTTACAGAAAAATATCAGTCACATTTGTGTTCTGGAACCAGTGCTAATAATAACTGTTGTTGTTCGTCAGTATTTGATCAAATATTCGCTATGACTTTTGGATAATTGTCTGCGCTACATTAACCCATACATTTCACTTTTATCAAGTAATTAGCCTGAAGGTTAGAGTAGCTCATTAGGATATATTTAGGATATCGAAAAGAAAAGGCTTGCTGTTATGATCGTTTGAAGCAAATGACAGAAAGATTTTTGTCAGGTTAGAAGTTATTAGATAAGGGGTATCGTACATTGAAACAAAGTTTTAAGTGTCCAGTTTTGATAAGGTATAACATTCAAAAATTAACGTAAATCACCTACATAGTATATACATTTTGAATTAGATAAAAACTCCATTTTCTTTTCACTAAACTTTCGAGTAACCAAAAATGCTTTTTGATTTAGAAGATACGGGATACACCTAAAATTATGTGAATAAATACTTGTTATTTGGGATATGATTTATAACAGAAAAAGAAGCTACCAGGAAAGAAATTATAAAGGTTGAAAGAACTAAGGGTGAACTTTTGGATTTTAATTATTTGTTAGTTGGAAAGATAATAAAATAGAAGAACTAGGTTAGG